TTTTTTTAATTGGTTATTTCTTTTTATATTACAACATTTCAAATCAAAAAAATCTTTCTTTACTAAAAAAAAATTTAAATTACTTTATAATTTTTGTAAAATATTTCTTTGAATATATAAATATTTTTTTGCCTCTGTCAAATACTTCTTTCATTTAAAAAAGGTACATTCAAAGAAATATATTTATTGTATGTTAACAAATTTTTTTCCAAGTGCGTGTAAAAAGCACGTACATTTATTTCAGTATACATTATTACTACATCTATTCCTGTAGTGCGTTCGGAAACAACGTCGCTAGATTGGTGAGCGGCGAATCAATCGAAACATTAAACGGTTTGCGCGGTTTTATAATAATATTCCCATCGTAATCCCGAAACGTTATCGAAATTAACATTTTAACGCGCGTTCCAAAGACATCAATTTGCGCGCCGTGCTCAGACAAATGATCCAGCTTACACAATATTATTTTCCCGCAATGCGTCACAACGTTGTTCCTCAGTGCGCACAGTTTAATCTCGCGTTTGTTCCGTTTGTTAATATAATCGTCGATAACACCGAATATTCCGATATCTTTTGTACCATGAAATCCCGCTTCATCGTTCGAAAGATTCTATATTGGTGCGCTGATGTTTTTTCGATGCGCTCGACTTTATCGAGTTCTTCAAACTTCTTCAATGGATTACTATTGTTAAAAGTTATCGCGAATTCATATTTTACCTTGTTGTAAAAATATTCCGGTAAAGTGGATTTTAAAATAACGCACGCTTTACACTTACCGCTGTCCACTTTACTCATGTACATCGATAATAAGAACAGAGGACAATCGAATGCTCTTAGCCTAGTGCTCAGAGCCGAGTTCGACATTTCAACATACGAATCTCCCGCGTTTGAATATAGCCGTAGATACTGTCTCGTGATATAAACACAAACAGCGAATTTATTATTCCGATGTATCCCTTTTGTACCATGAAATCCCGCTTCATCGTTCGAAAGATTCTATATTGGTGCGCTGATGTTTTTTCGATGCGCTCGACTTTATCGAGTTCTTCAAACTTCTTGGA